AAGTCTTCCGCTCGTCCGGTTTATTTCCACTTTGTCCCCGCAACTCCCTGGGTGATAACGTCCTTTGGCAGAGACAATACAACCCACTGCATGTAACAAGGTATATGAATGCTGTTTGTTGTTAACTGCCCTCGAGTCGATCTTGACCCATGTTGGCCCTATGGATGAGACATCTCCAAGACCCTCTATCCTCCACTGCTCTGCTTAATTCTTGCAACCCCATAAAACCTGTGACCTCCTTAATAGAGTCCATCCACCTGGCATGTGGCCTTCCTCTATTCCTACTTCCCTCCACCTTTCCCAGCATTATTGTTTCTTTTTTCCAAAGAGTCCTCTCTTCTCATGATGTGTCCAAGGTACGACAGCCTCAGTTTGGCCATCTTGGCTTCTGAGAGGTTTCTGGCTTGATCTGCTCTAGGACCCACTTGTTTGTCCTTTTGGCTGTCCATGGGATCCTCAGCACTCTTCTCCAGCACCAATCTCAAATGCATTGATTTTCCTCCTGTCTTCTTTCTTGACTGTCCCGCTCTCACATCCATACATGGTAATAGGGAATATGATGGCTTGTATGATTCTGACTTTTGTTCTGAGTTGTATATCTTTGCATTTTAGAATCTTTTCTAGTTCTTTCATAGCCACCCTCCCCATTCTTAATCTTCTCCTGATTTCCTGGCTGCAGTCCCTGTTCCGATCAATGTTTGATCCCAGATATAACTTTTATTATTTCTATTTCCAAGAAAATCTAGTTTGAATGTGTGTAAGTTCTCTGTGATCATTATTTTTGTTTTCTTTATGTTCAACATTAAGCCTGCCTTTGCACTTTCTTCTTTGATCTTCCTTAGTAGGTGTTCCAGGTCTGTGAGGTTTTCTGCTAGTACTATGGTGTCATCTTCATATCTTAGATTGTTGATATTCCTTCCTCCTATTTTCACTGTACACCTTGTTTTTAAGGAATATTTCCTTTCCAGGGGCCTTCTAGGAATACAAGCCAGATTGAAAAACAAGGAACATGGTCCCTGCACTTGTTGTTTACCTAAGAAAACAATGCAGGAAAGCACTGGATGATATCCCATTTAAGCAATAGGATATTCCTTCTCCCACCCCCATTTTTGCTTTATTATATTTTTTTCTTAATATATAGTAACAATATACAGTGGTACCTCGACATACGAGTGCCCTGATATACGAGTGTTTTGAGATACGAGCCGCCGAGTGAGCAATATTTTGCTTTGAGATGAGAGCAAGATTTGAGATACGAGGAATCGCACACTACACCGCTGCACACAACCCCAACAATGGGGAAAATTGCTTTGAGATACGAGCAATTTGACATACGAGCAAGGTTACGGAACGAATTAAATTTGTATGTCAAGGAACCACTGTACATGTATTTATGGCAGACACAACTTGACAAAAGGGGAATACCTTTACATTTTGTTTGTGGTGGAGTAGTGGTAGTAGGATTAGGATTCTGGGGATCAAGGCTCAAATTTGTGCTTGGCCATGGAAACCTGTTGGGTGACCGTGGTTGAGTCACTCCCTCTCAGCCCCATAAAACCCTGTGATAGATTCACCTTAGGGTTGCCATAAGACAGAAATGATTTGAAGGCACACAACAACAACAACAACATTTATGGTTTTATTCTTCCCCCCTCACAAATGGCTAACAGACATTTATAACATTTAATTACCAAATCAACAATCATTTTCAGAAATATGGAATATATCATTAATCACATTTTCACATCTTCATACCCTGTTTTTTCCATTTACATTCTCCATCTTAATTCTTCATTTATCTTTCTGTGAATCTTAATTACTTTGTCCACTATACTTAAACCTTTTTCCTAAGGAAATCAAATAATATAACATCTTTTATATACTTAAACAAATAAATCCTGCTCTAACTTGATTTCTTTTTCCACTCTAAAGCAATAACTGCATGGGCAGCTATTAAAATTTGTTTTATCATATATCTGTCATTCCTATTCTAGTCCATTTCCTCTAAATTAAGAGTTATACAATTTTCTTTACTTAACTGTACCTCTATCCCTGTTATTATATTTCTCTGTTTCTTAACTTCTGTCCAAAACTCCTGATCAAATGGGCATTCCCATCATATCTGTATATAAAAGCTCTACATTGCATATCCATGCCAACCTTTAGATTGGAATTTTTCATTTATAATCCCCATTTGATGAGGTGCTTTTGCATGGATGTGCCTTCAAGACTCTGGGGGGTTGCAGACTGCCAGAAATAGTGCAAATGGAGTCCACTTTAAGGGTTAGGGTTAGGGAATCATGGGAACTGTATTTTATTGTGGCACCAGAGCTCTCTGACAGAGAAGGCTCAATGTCTCAGAAAAAACAACAATTCCCATGATTCCCTAGTACTAACCCTAACCCTAAAAGTGGACTCAGTTTGCACTATTTCTGGCAGTCTGCAACCCCCCCACAGTGACCCCCCCTTTCCCACCCAAATTTCATAGGGTTTTTGTAGGGAAGGAATACTCAGAGGTGGTTTTACCAGTTATTTCTTTTGAAATCTAGCCTACAGCACCTGGTATTTGGTGCTGGTCTCTCATCCAAAGTATTAAACAGGACTGACCCTGCTTAGCTTTCAAAATCAGAAAGGATCTGGTGCCTTTAGGTACAACAGGCTCCTTAAGATGACAAAATTATTAATAAGGCAGAATAGATAAATCAGGGGAGGCTACAGCAGTTTGCTTTTTCCTGAGACCACTGGGAAGGACCAAATTCTTCCTCTCCCACCCAGCTCCCTCCCTAAGTTAAAAGAGCACTAACTACTTTTGCACTTTGACTTTAGTTTGTAGCAATTGAAGTACACTGAGGATGAAATTAAAGGAGCACTAATTCCTTTTGGATATGTTAAAACGTGGAAGACAAAGAATTAATTGGGACTTTCTCTGACAAAACAGTACAGTGTGTGTGTGTGTATGTGTGTGTATGTGTGAGAGAGAGAGAGGTATAATGGTTCAAGGACTTGGACTAGGACTATGGAGGCCAGGGTTCAATTCCCTGCTCAGCCATGAAAACCCACTCACAGCCACAGAAAATCCAATGATAGGTTCACCTTAGCGTCACCATAAGTTGGAAAAAACTTGAAGGCACAAAGTAATACACAACTATCTATCTATCTATCCAAGAAATTAAGGGAGCCAACATAGTGCAGTGGTCTGAGGATTTGAATCCCTACTCAGCCATGGAAACCCACAGTGTGACTTTGGGCAAGTCACATTCTCTCAGCCTCACAGGGAGGCAATGGCAAATCCCCTCTGAGCAAATCTTACCAAGAAAACCCTTTGATAGGGTTGCCATGAATTGAAATGACTTATAGGCACACAACAACTTGAAGTAATCATGCGTTCATATGCATATGCCTTTCCCCCCTTCTCTCTCTGCAACTGAAGTTGAGCTTAATAATGGGCCTTTGCAGACTGCCAGAAATAGTGCACATTAAATTGAGGCACTGCCCTGGCTCAGTGCTAAGGAATCATGGGAACTGTACTTTATTGTGGCACCAGAGCTCTCTGACAGAAGGCTCAATGTCTCAGAAAAAAATACAATTCCCATGATTCCCTAGCACTGAGCCAGGGCAGTGCCTCAATTTAATGTGCACTATTTCTGAATGTCTCAGCTTTTAATGATCAGGCTTTGAGCTCCACCTTGTTCTAGCCTCAAATAAATGGGTTGAATGAATGAATGAATCTATCCATCAAATATGCCTTCTTTCCCTTGTATGCACACAGCCCTGGTTTAAGTCAATAAGATCCACTGTATTTAAAATCAAGCTGCTGGATGTCATACTTGTAAATTCAAAAGACCTATTGAGTTCAATGTTAGTATGTGTTCCTTCTCAATATGCATTAGTACCCCCCCCCCCCAATCTGTGGATTGATTTCCTCTATCTGCAACTGCAACAACTCACTTCTTCTTGGCTTTATGGGTGATTAGGACCATCCTGGATTAAATGGATTACAGCCCAAAACAGCAATCCTAAAACAATAAAGTGGCTTTCAAGTAAGTGGTTAGAATTAAGGGTCAGGCACCCAATATTGCCACTGGTTTAGGATTTGTGAAGCTTTGCCAGAAAGCATAAAACAAGGCATGGCAGTCAATTCCCTCAGTATGCATATGTTACAAAATAACATATACCTACTTTGTTCAACAATATATCCAAAAATACATGTAACTACGATGAATTTACAAACAGACACCACTGGGTGAAACATTTTATTGGGTCAAGTAAGGCTGAGAGTTTTTCAAGATGCAAACCAGATCCTTAGACAATAGCATCCAAAATCCACAAAACGGTGATAGTATACCTTTATTGGACTAACCAAAATGCACAATAATTATGTCATTTCTACGTTTATGTGTCTGTAGTGTCAGGTAATCTGTATTGCAAATGAAATATGCATGGTTTTTAGTATGATAACTAAATTGTATGCATTGAACTAGTGAAGATGCATGAAATATGCCTGGTTTTTAATATGATACCTGGATTGTATGTACTGAACTGGTGAAGATTGTCCCAATAAAGGTATCACCATTTTGTGGATTTTGGATGTTATTGCACTTAGCTATATGTCCAATGTAGTGTTGTGGTTTAAGTGTTGGACTATGACTCTGGAGACCAGGGTTCAAATCTCTGCTGGACCATGAAATCCACTGGGCGACCTTGGGCAAGTCACACCTTCTCAGCCACAGAGGATAAACCAATCTTGCCAAGAAAATTCCAGGATAAGTTTGCCTTAAGAGTCACCATAAGTCAGAAACTCCTTGAAGGCACATGGCTGCCCTTGGAAGTATTCTCAGAGCCTAGGGCCTTTACAGACTGACAGATATAATGCAAGCTTGGGGACACTTTAACAGCCTTGGCTCAGTGCTAGGGAATCATGGGAACTGTAGTTTATTGTTGCACCAGAGCTCTCTGACAGAGAAGGCTCAATGTCTCAGAAAAAACTACAGTTCCCATGATTCCCTAGCATTGAGCCAGGGCAGTTAAAGTGGTCTCAAACTGGATTATTGCTGGCAGTCTCAATTAGACTCAATTGCAGACTGGGCTCAACTCTGCCAAGGACAGGATTGGAAAAGAGTTACAGGGAGAGCTCATCGCTGCCAGCAGTAGTCATGGCTGAGTGGTTAAGGTGATGGACTAGAAATCCATTGGGGTCTCCCTGCGCAGGTTCAAATCCTGCCGACTACGGGATGGGTGCATTTTAAAATAAATTCTTTTTAAAAAGGAAGGGCCACAACAGAATAGAGTGCAAAGGGAAAGCCGGGTGGCGGAATGGGCTGGAGGCATATCTCCAGAGCAGGGGTAGGCAACCTTTCCCCTTTAAGGGCCGAGAGACTTCAGCTCCCAGAAGCCTCAGCCATGTTGGCCAATAGTCCCGTGTTGGCCAATAGCTCCTGGGATTCTGGGAGCTGAAGTCCCTCGGCCCTTAAAGGGGAAAGGTTGCCTACCCCTGATCCAGAGGGAGGAGGCGAGGCTTGGCCTGAGTGTTGGTTGCAAGAGGAGGAAGGAAGGGAGGAAAGGACGTGGCTTCGGTTCCCGGATCTCGCAGCAGCAGCAGCAGCAGCAGGAGAAGGAAGGAAAGAAAGAGCGAGAGCTGGCCGAAGGAAAAGGCTGGCCATGCAGCACTGCCAGGGCCCTGCCGCCTTGGTCACCACCAGGTAAAGGCCCTGGAGGAGGGGAGGAGGATCTGGGGGGATGGCAGGGGCCTTGATCCTGAACCCACAGCCCTCCCAGGCCAAGCAAGGCGGGAGGCAACTTTGGGGAGTTCACGCGAGACGCGGGGTTCCTGCCAGGCGCCTTCCTTGGCTTGGAGGAGGGGGGACGACCCGGGTGTGTGTGTGTGTGTGTGTAGGGCAGGGGTAGGCAACCTTTCCCCTTTAAGGCCAAGGGACTTCAGCTCCCAGAATCCCAGGAGCTATTGGCCAACATGGGACTATTGGCCAACATGGCTGAGGCTTCTGGGAGCTGAAGTCCCTCGGCCCTTAAAGGGGAAAGGTTGCCTACCCCTAGAGGGAGCCTTTTTTTTTTTTTACAAGATGATGTCCTCTTTTTCCAGGACCCCATCCTCCATCCCAGCCTTCAGGAGGGAATTCCAAAATGTCCTCCATTTTGAGTATGGCTTGTTGGGTGCTTTAGTTTAGGGCGTTTCAGACTTATGGAGGCCCCTGTCATGTTTGGTTGTTTTTGGTGTTTTGGTGGCAAGATGTGTTCATAGAGTTTGGTTTATTTATTTATTTATTTTTGGGTGTGTGTGTGTGTGTGTGTCATCCCCTGAGGCTGAGAGAGTGTGACTCGCCCTAGGTCACCCCCAGTGACGTTCCATGGCTGAGCGGGGACTCGATCCCAGGTCTCCACTGCACCACGCTGGCTCTTTTTGGGCGCGGCGAAGAAGCATGAATTTTTATTTTTAGAGCAGTACTTTGAGCTTTTTATTGAGTTGTATCCTACACTTTTTGTTAAAGTTTCGACATTTTGCGGTGGGTTGTTTCTTATTTTGGGGGAGAGGGGACATCTGACCTCCCTGTCCTTTTTGGCCTGGGATCCCCAGGGCTTGGCCCAGCATCTCCTTCTTCCTGAGAAAGGGGCGATCGGCTGCACTTCCCTTCTCTCTGGCTGAAACTGCTGGCTCTGCAAGCTCTGGAGGGAGGGGGCTGTGCTGTGTGCCTTCAAGTCATTTCCGACTTATGGCGAACCTATCCTGGGGTTTTCTTGGCAAGATTTGTTCAGAAGAGGTTTGCCCTTGCCTTCCCCTGAGGCTGAGACAGTGTGACTTGGCCCAAGGTCACCCAGTGGGCGTCACAGCCAAGCTGGGAATCGAACCCTGGTCTCCAGAGTCGTAGACCAGAGGTAGGCAACCTTTCCCCTTTAAGGGCCGAGGGACTTCAGCTCCCAGAATCCCAGGAGCTATAGTCCAACATGGGACTATTGGCCAACATGGCTGAGGCTTCTGGGCCCTGAAGTCACTCGGCCCTTAAAGGGGAAAGGTTGCCTACCCCTGACTTAAAGAGAAGCGTGCAATTTCCCCCCTCTCAAGGTGTTTCTGTTTCTGCAGATACGCCTCCATTTTTTATGACAACCTTTCACAGGATCCCGACTTTTTGCTTCCCCTAGTGTTCCTCTTGTGGGCTTTTATTGCCACTAAGGTGGCGCTCCTGCAACCTCCTTCAAAGCTCCAAGGGGAAGAGTTTTACTGCTCAATGCTAGGGAATCATGGGAATCGTAGTTTTTTCTGAGACATTGAGCCTTCTCTGTCAGAGAGCTCTGGTGCCACAATAAACTACAGTTCCCATGATTCCTTAGCACTGAGTCAGGGCAGTTAAAGTGGCCTCAATTTGCACTATTTCTAGCAGTCTGCAAAGGCCCTTTAGACTGACATCACCACCCCATCCCCAATTTGAGAATTTTATTTTCTTTAAACGCTGTATATTGGGGACCCCCCCC